TCTCCCGGGTGAACTTTATGTACTCGGACTGCTCGTTTAATAATTCGAAGCATTTGTCCATCTCCTCCTGCGTAGAGAAGTTTTTCGAGAAGTTGTTGATTATGTAATTGCCGGAGAGTTCTTCGTCTTCTTGTAAGTGTTATTGAAGCGTTTGGCCTAGTAGATTGTATATCAGTATACCCTTCCAGGCTCTGAAGAAGGCGATACTGCCGAAACGTCAGCTAGCGTTGTATTGTATTGTGTTTTTATGGAAGTAAATGTATGCTGTTTAAAAACCTCACGATTGCTGAACAAGAAAACGACACATTCTTATTTTATTATATAAAAAGTATTTCGAACGTCCACTTGAATGATAAGAACACTTACAGCCCTTATGAGAAAGTTTCTAAGAAACTGATAGCAGTTCGTACATAAGCATACGATATTTATTATTCGAAAAGCATAAATTTCTGTTTAAAATAAACATGAACAGATTTAGTGAGGCAACTGAGGACGTCTTTTCCGTACAAAACTTATCTCTAAGCTCTAACTCTGTAGGGTAAGCAGAGTTATTCATAAAAGAAATGGAAAAGTATAAACTTTAGGATATTTGGATCTTCTGCGTTGTCTGCAAGCTTCTCGTGCTCCTTGTTAATAATCGAGTACTTCTGAAACCAGAACCAGTTTGGACGGCACTAATATGAAACCAGATCTCTCTAGATGGATTTCAATTCTAAGATGCTGAAAGTTTTTCGCTTGAAGTTTATCGATGTCACCGCTTACCTCGTTAATACCTTCTCTGTTTTCCTTCACGATTTCCCTGATTTGTTTCGACTTTAATTTGCTCAGATATCTAATCACATCGGGAAGGCTTCGAAACGGTAGAGCATTGTAGTGTATCACACTATGACATATGTTAACAATGTCATCTAAAAATATAATTTCTTATTCTAATTCTGTTAGATCGCAGCACTCAGTAAGTTTAACGGACTTACTGATTAACCTCATATCATGATATACTTCTTGAGGGCCACCCTAAAATGATAAAATGGTAAAAAAGTGTCTTGACATAATAGAACTGCTCGATTTCTATAAGTTCGCAATAATTGTAGTTTGGAGGTAAACGGTAAGGTCTAAGGTGTTCATTCATTAACTGCCCTAAGCTGTTTTGATAAAGTCAAATCACACTCGCTTCGACTCAGTTGTATTCCTAACACTGGATTAACAGCTCTGTTGGAACGACTTTCCCATAATACCTATTTCTGAAGGGGCGCGTGTGGCTCAGTGGTCGGAGTGGCCCTGCAACACGCACGTGGAATCGATCCCCACCTCTATGGCTCGTCAAGCCTTCCATTCCTCCGGGCTCGGCAACTTGGTACCACTTGTCTGGGAGGATAGCATCACTGACTCAATGCATCGGGAGGCAACCGCGAGTCATTGTAAAGGTCAGATATGCATCCAGTCACCTCCAAACGATGCTTAATGAAGACGAATGCATGTCACATCCCGTAGGGATTGATCAACGCCGAGAGCTTTACCTTTCATCCTTTTCTACCCACTTTTAAATTGATATACCTATGGAATACGTTTTTCCTTTTAAAGCTAATGCTTTCAAGACAACAATAAACAACCATACTCGTTTCTTTGTGTAAAACAAATTTCCCAGTTCTTTCTCCCACAGTTTGTAAGAAACTCGTTCGTTATGCAATGTTATCGTTGTTTATTATACAAAACAATTTCTAGAAAATATTTTTTTTACCAGTTGTTTGAGATTCGTAGAGTGCTTGAAAAACTCTAGAATTCGTTCCAGTAAAGAAATAAGTTCGTGAATGGCTTGTACAGAATGAACAACGTCGAACCGGACAAGCTCCTGAAGGTGTGGTACTAATGAAAACATAAGAAAAGACTGGATTAACAACTGAAAAGCTGAAATAGACCAGAATAATAGTGGTATCAGGTGACGAAAAAAGAATTACGTCTTTTTGATCCATTAAACCATGACTTTCTTCTATTCATCGACCCCACTGGTTTGACTAAAAAGGTTGGTACACGTTGTTTTACTAGCTTTGGCCTTTTATTAGTGCATATTACGAGTTTCTAACATTGTAACTCACCGCACAGTCTGTCCTGCTCGTATGGTTTAGCAGGTCCCTTACTAGGTCCTTAAAGACTACATGAAATTCATAGTAGAGGTCGTCTATTCTGCTCAGATTGCACAATGTTTTCACGTTCAGTGTGCCTTCACTAGGGTTTATTCGTTTCAGAGCATGCTGAAACACTTCATCAGCACTAAATGGAAGGAGTATTACCCTGTATAAAAACGAAGACGGATTTTTTTAAAATTATCGCTTTTTTTCTTGTCTGTAGACTGACAAGTGTAATTACTGGAAGAAACACTAGTGATTTCTTTTATTTCTGATTAACACATTCATGATGCTGCTGGTTTTCGGGCAAGAGAAGATAAATTTCCGACAAAAGGACTTGAAAACTGGCGAATTTGATGGACTGGTAGATAAGTCTTTTTTCACTCTAACATTCTGTGGAACTCTTGGCTGAGAGACAGATGAAACGAAGGATCCGCATCGTGTGGTGGTGAATGCATTAGCCATCGGAAAGGATAATAACGCTTTCGTTCTCCATCGCAGACACCTACGGTCCAGAGTTTTGAAAATATCTCAGCATCATTGTGCTTGAGTCACAGATAATACTCTGTCGTGAAAAATTGTGTTAAGCAGTAAATAAAAAGTTAGCACTGCGAATTAGACTACAGCCCCAGCTTAGCTACGTCCATTGTTTATTTGGGCTCCCCAGATCAATTCCGTTGATGGGTGATTGCTGATGGCACTGATCGATAGGACCAGTTGAGAGACAGGCGAATACGAAGGACTCACATGGCGTCGTGATGAACGCGTGCGTTAGCCCCTGGAAAGGGTAATAGCTCGTTCTTTAGTTATTCTCATTTTAATCAACAAGGATTGCTATAAGTTGAGATATTCTCGTTTAAATCTGAACAGTTGAATGGATTGTTTTCATCCTTGTAAGAGTCATATCGTCGCAAATGCGTTAAAGTCAAGTTCTAAGGGCCCAACACGCAAGTGAATCCGCTCAGAAGCGCCATGATTTTATAACTGTAACAAAGCTCAGTCATACTCACCTTGAAGTACACTTCATTGTAGTACCCACTAGGTAATCCATAAATTTGCAGACTGGTCTGGTTCACTTCAGGAATGCCAGTTGATGAACTATGTATAGTTTAAAAAAAAAGTTAAACGTTGCTAATTAAATGCGTTTGAAAAGTCAATAGGCAAATTGGTTTGGACATTGGTTTGGACATAATGTTAAAAATATGAAAAAATTGTAGCTGGAAAAAATGACTTTTTGAATAACAACAAGCGAAAGGCAAGAGTCCTTAGCGATTGTAGTTCGACGGGATTGGGAATAAAGCACCAAATGGGGAAACCACCGTCTCGATGGTTAGAAGAATTCTTGAGGATCCTGTTCGAAAGCTGTGTTATTCGCCACGTTGTCCAGTGTGTGGTGTACATGGGACAGCTCCTTTCGGTGACGCTATCACAAGTCGCACTCTATAGGTAACTGGTTAATCTGAAATGAGGTCGAATCTTTGCTCTAATCTGGGTTTCCGGATAGATGTGACGAACTGCTTCCTTCTTTACATTGTAGCATCTAAACATATTCGACTTCTAGGAACATCCGCCCTCCGTCCTAGTTTCAACTTGTTTCAACTGGGTTCAATGCCGATTTGTGCACCTCAGATCTTTCCGATGACGGGTCATTGTTGATAGCATTGTTAGATAAAAAACTGGCTGAGAGAGAGGCAAAGCAAGAGCCTCAGTGGTGCAGTGGGGGTAACACGTGAGTCTCAGGAAGTGCTTTAAGTTTTTTAGCTATTGGCCGTTTAAACTCGTCTTTACTAATAAATATATGAAAAGATTGCTATGGTACACGCACCTTGGATTTGATATTCGCAAAAGAACAGTGGCAGATAATCCTATCAAAATTTCATCAAGCATATCTGTTATCGAAAAAATTAGAGCATGAGATAAAGAAATGGAAATCTTTCGATACGATAGATACACACGTTACATTCATTTCATAGGATTGTATTCTTACAGTAACTTATAACAAACGTTTGAAAGAAATGCTACTGAAGTTCTGGAATAATACACATTAATTTGATAACAGAACAACGAGCTGGTTCCACTAGTTATTTGCGTAAGAAAGTCCATTACTAGTTTTCTGTGTTTTTTATTCCAAGGTATTGTGTGAAACAGGAAAGAGTGCGCTGTCTCCTTTTAGTGTCTATGAGACATTAATTGTCCGAACGTTTCACATGAGTAATGAGGATCGCAGTACTTTCAGGGTACTTGAACTCGACTTGCTTCACCACCGTCGTCTTTGATTCTCATTCTGTGCCTCGGTGAACGGATAAGGGGCAATGATTCTGTTGGAACTGTTTTCGTTGCCGACTAAGCAACTTTTTCGATGTTGTGGAAAGGAAATGCCAATATGTTGGAAGAGTATAACCTAATCTCAGTGCAAAAAACGTCAGGAAAACTACTCTTTTCTGAAATTCTTAACGGTACTTGCTTAAGGTAGATCGCATTAAGGATATAACAAAAATTTGACCATACTGCCTCTTACATTGATTTCTAGCTCTGCTACAAGCAAACTGGGAGAGAACTGTTGTGTTATTGCGAACGTTTTGAAGTAGAGATTTATATCATATCACAAGGCATCACTTTAAAAGCTAAAGATGACTGCCGCCTAAAGAGTGGGTCATAAAGATAGGGGTGTGTTCACATGTATCACCTGTAGTCCCGTTAATCATCGAGTGACTAGAGCGGGCGCCCGTAAATATCCCATTTTTTTCTATCGAGTGCAAGAGTGGCCCAATGGGTTGCCTCTAGGGACTCGTCGAACATCATATCTTCAAGGCTCTTTGTGAAAAACTCTGAGCATCGGGTCGGTGGCCTTCCTGCAGTACGTATGACATCCCAAGGAATCCAGTCACTAACGGATCTTGTCCATCAGTTGTCAATCATACGAATTACGCGTCCGGCCCACCTTATCTTTGTCTGTTCAGCGTACAGAACGGCATCTTTGATTTTTAATCGTTGACGCAGATTGGAGCTTCGGATTCTATCCCTTACTTGTGTGGAAGTGGATACTCTTAGCATCGTCCTTTCGACTGCGCGTTCGATAACGCTGAGTGACTTTCATCCTGCTTATGCAGCGAACAGGTTTCTGACGCATGCGCTAGGGCAGGAAACAGCGTTGAGTTGAGTCGAAAAGGTGGGCACGGAGTCGGGTGTTCTTTGTTCTCTTCACTACATCCTCGATGCTCTTGAAAGCTCCACAAGCCGCTCGTTTCCTCCTGCTCAGCTCTGGAACTAGGTCGTTCATCATATTAATTTCCCGACCCAGATGGATATAACTGAAGCATCTGGAGAGATTCGTTCCGTTGAGCGTGAATGGGGCATGCAAAACCAATCCGTTCTTTATGAACAACGTTTTTGTGGGATTTAGTCAAAGCCCAATTTTTTCACAGGCTTTATCAAAGTCGTCAAGCATACGTTCCGCTAGGCTAATGCTTGGTGTTATAAGGACGATGTCTTCAGCAAAGCGAAGATGGTGTAACTGCCGACCATCGATTTTCACTCCCATATTATTCCATTCCAATGCTCGTATGACGTTCTGAAGGGTGGCGGTAAATAATTTTGGCGAGATGGTATCGCCTTGCCTAACTCCTCTTCTGACGTCAGTGTTAATATCCTTGTAGAATGGTGATACCATGGTTGTGAAATTTTTGTACAGCTCACGAAGAGTCTTTATGTACTGAGTAGGAACTCCTTGACTATCAAGGGCTTCCAAGACTGCTCCCATCTCAACTGAATCAAAGACGTTCTGTAAAGAAAGTGAGACAGAGTGGTCCTTTGTACGCTCGCGACACTTCAATGAGCCTTGTTACTGTGTGGACATGTTCCATCGTACTAAATCCTTTTCGAAACCCTGCTTGCTCACATGTCTGTTCTTCGTCTAGTATTCTGTCAATCCTGTTTAGGATAACTCTAGTGAAAAGTTTGTAGACGACAGACAGTAAGCAGATTGGGCGATAGTTGCCGATATCGTGTAGGACACCCTTCCTGAACAATAGCGCGATCTTGCTAATCATCTTCCACTGAGCAGGGACATTACATTCGGACAAGTAACGTGTAAACAGCCGGGTGACTGTGTTTACGAGGACTGGCGGAAGGTTCTCCAGGTTTTCTGTTCTTATCCTGTCCGGACCAAGTGCTGTTCGATTCCTCACCAACAAAATGGCATGTCGGATTTTGGAAGAAAGAACCGGTGGTATACATATCCATCCTCCTTTATTTCGTATGACGGAAGGTGGGTGTGGCTATCGAAGAGATCTGAGGAGTAGTTGTGAATGATTTTTTCCATTGCCTTTGTGGACGCTGTAACTGTTCCGTCTAAGCGTCGGAGTGCAATCATCTTGGTCTTGTATTTGGTGAAGATTCAGTGGGCTTTACGAATGCTTTTTCCAGCTTCTGCAACTCCGGCAATAACTGCTGTTGTTCTCTCATTAAGACCTTCTTTTATCGCCTGTCTGCACTGTTTTGCAAGTTCGAACGTTAGTTCGCGCTTGCCTGCAGCTCGTGCGATTCCACGCTGGCGTATCAACTCAAGTGTTTCTGGAGATAGACGTCTCTTGGTGAGTTTTGAACTCTCAGCTTTCATAGCACTAACGTGAAGATGTTGAATGAGCCGATGGTATTCTTTGTCGAAGTTGTCGAGAATGGCATCTTCTCAACAGGCTGCTAATGAATTAAATAAGTCCCAGTTTGCGGGGGTCTGGGACCTCAGTTTTGGATTTTAGCGGCTTTTTCTCCTTTACGCGAAAAATAGAAACTTGCACGAAGGAGATAGTGGTCTGATCCCTCGAAGAATTTTGGGACAGCAACGACATCGCTTGGGCAAAACCTTCTATTTACTATGATGTGGTCTATTTCGTTATGGTACTCTCCATTGGGAGCCTCCTACGTCCATCGCTTAGGGTGAGGCTTCTGGAATTGAGAGTTACCATGGATTGTCTTGGTGCCATGATAAACTCAGACAACCACTCACCCTTTTCTTTCCATTCTAATCCGTGGATCTTAATACGATGTTTTTCAGACGTTTTTCTTGGTCCAATCTTGGCGTTGAAATCCCCAATGATGACTTTGAAGAATGTGTGGACTTCTCTGTAGAACTTTTCCTGTCCTAATAGAACGCTTCGCCTTCTTTTTCGTCACAGTTTAATGTCGGCGCGTAAACGACGGAGATTGTCAAAGCTGGAATTGATCCACGTCTTTTTAATCGTAAACGTCCGATTCGGTTTCTAAGTTGATCGAATGAACCAATGTTCGTCGACAAACCCGCGTTGGCGAGAACGCCAACGCCGCCGACTCCTCTGCCGTCGCATGTTCCGAGGAACAGTTCTTCCCCGATGTCATAGACGGCGTTGAAAAGCTGTCGTCTTCTCGTTTCGGCCAGGCCGATGACGTGGTACCTTGTGCTTCTCGCTTGCGTGACCAAGTCTTTTATCGAAGACTCGGATGGAAGTGTACGTACATTGTAGGTACAGATCGTCACCTTAGTTCTTCGTGATTCAGGCAGCTTCCATTGGCTTTGAGATTTTAGCAGCCTCTCTGTACTCGTCCTACCCAACGCTGCCGAATTTGGGACTTTTTCTGAGTCAGGGGAATGAGGCCCGTTTCTCTTACTGCTTTTTGCTTTTTGATACCCATTTATAGCTTGCTAGACTCTGAACGTGAAGGCTGGATATACTCACGGAGAGCTTACCAGGTTCTCCCAGAGTGGGCATGGAGCTTATTTGTTGGAGGCAACTACTAACCGCCTCCCATTTACTTCCCAGTCATTTGATTGTAGTCTTCTGGCCGAATTGGCTGGTAGAATACAATCCGCATAAAGCGAGAACGCACCCACACACGTATGCATGAATACGCCTATCAAATACAGAAAGTACGCGCCAAATCAGCGCAGCAGAAGCAGGGAGTGCATCCCTTGGATCCGCCTGCGTCTCAAAGAAGCAATGGTCGCTTTTGGTCCGCAATTAACCTCTTATCCGCCACCGGGTGATGCGCCACGTACCCTCGCGACTAACCGGATCGAGATCCCTCATATGAGGGAAAATCGTGGGAGGGTGTTATCTATTGTAATTATACTCACATTCATTTGGGCGAGTAGCACAGTAATAGCGACGCTTTTAACTACGCGGAATGGCAAATTCCCGATGGGTAGATTCGACTCCAACTGTGGTCCGCCGCCCCTCCTACTTTTTCTGCGTCGGAAAATTGGTGCGAAACCTAACTGGGATGAGCTCACTCTGTTTAACGTTTTGTTTTCTGCCTTCTATAATTTTCATGGCAGGTTACTAAGCGAAATACAACCACAACGTTGCTGAGATATTTGCAAAACTCTGGACCGCAGGTGTCTATGGTGGGGAACGAACGCGCTATTATCCTTTCCGGAGAGTAACGCGTTCACCACCACACCATGCGGGTCCTTCGTTTCGCCTGTCTCTCAGCTATTTCTATCGATCT